AAAATGTGCGATTTCATGTATTTTCGCCTTAAAGCGGCCGCCATTTGGCTATCGTTAATGAGATCATGAAACAAATGCACATACATATTTGTGACATGATGTACCTTGTGTGTGTGAAGTTTGAACTCGATCAATCCAAGCATGTCTCAGATACGGATCCAGAACTGAATTCTTTAAAACAAAATGGCCGCCAGTCGGCCATTTCGAACCCGATCCAAAAAAAAAATGACGTGCATCAAGGTCCTATTATGTTTAATGTATGTACCAAATTTGAACAAAATCCGTCCATGCATAACTGAGATCCGGGTCCGGAATGGTGAAAATGTGCGATTTTGATGCATTTTCGGCCTTAAAATGGCCGCTTTTCGGCTATCGTTAATCGGATCATGAAAAAAATGCATGTGCATATGTCCCATATAATGTGTGATTTATGAGTGAAGTTTGAACTTAATTGGTCCATGCATGTTCGAGATACAGGTGATCACGGACGGACGGACGGACGCACGCACGGACGCACGCACGGACGCACGCACGGCAAAACATAAGTCCCCGTTTTCGGACTGCGTCCGAACGGGGACTAATAAGTGTGAGTTTTACTTCATGAAAACTTCTACTATACATCTTTAATACGGTATTATGTTTATTATTAATTTATTTGTATTACTGTAAAATACTTTATTTTAGCTGGAATTAATTTTCACTGAAATTACATTTTGTGTGTTTTGTATGAAATTTATTCTCACTGATTTTTGACGAGTTGAAAGAAAGATATAGGGAAAAGGGTATATTTGCTGGGTTTTACTTTCACTGAATCATCCCCTCAGCGAAAATAGCAAAAATAAATTCTGAGCGTAAATAAAGTATTTTACAGTATCTACTAGTAGTCTTATGGTGAGTGGCTTTCGCGGTAAGAGGGTTTGGTATCTGGTGGGTTTCACAGGGAGTAGGGCTTTGTCTCAGTAACTGGCCCTTTCATCTTTGTTAAGAATTGGTATTCTGGGAATACCATCCTAGCAGGTGTTCCAAAATAACAACCATGCTCTGATAATACCTCTAGCTTCAAGGACAATAAACACTATCATTATGATCTTATTGGTGTTGCAAAAGATAGTTGAATATTGTATAACTCAGTCTCAACAATAAAATAAAGGAATGTATATATATATATTTACATTATTACTAATGCATTGCAATACAACTAATTCTAATTGAAAGAAATTGCAATATAAAATATTCCATCAGTAATACTTCTCAAAGGCGTATTTCGCGGTCAGTGTTATTTACAAAAATGATTGTTTATAATTTTATAAACTTGCTTGGCAATACCCCCCCCCCCCCAATTAGATATAATTTGTACATATTTTAATAAATAAAGATATACTAACAAAAATGAAATATTAATTATTTGATATTTTTATTATATAACCTGCACAACAATAATCAATATTTTTCTTTGCTAGAATGATGTGTAACTTCATACGGGAATCCTGATAAAGTTCACAACTGGCGATTAAGCAATATTAGGGATTGTCAACTTCCTGTGAATGTGATTTCCTTGATGTTTTTAAGTTCATGTGCTGTAAGTTACAGGGCACATACCTAAGCGGCCGTCCCTCAGCAAATATTGAAGCAAATGCTTCCTTTTTACGCAAACTGGGAATTTCAAATTACTAAACGAAGTACAGGACATCGAAGCTTAGATATCCAAGAACCAAAACATACCAAAAATTATATCTCAAAAGTGAATATTTGTGGTGTATTTTAAGTCTAACCGGGCCGGAAGTGGGAATTTGTTAGTACTCTAAATATCCAAACATATTTTAGAATAAGGTAGTAATCATCAACATGTCGAGATTGAATGATAACAGCCACAGTGTCTGATACAATGCTGTTAATAGAAAGGCAGACGAAACAAGGATTAGAAAGCTATGAATGATGATAAAGTATTTACCTCTAATGCTACCAGACAGTCCATCTGAGATTCACAACTCTTTATATAGTTTTGTAACACAGGTGATAGTTGTTTCAGCAGCTAGGATTAGATCACAAGTATAATAACACATGGTCCCAAGTTTGTTAAAAAATTATATATAATGTGCTTGGCATTGTCTGAAACATCTCAAATTCAATCTTTCAGTTTGATTAGAAATAAGCCATGCCTGGCACTGTCCCCGTTAGTTATCAAACTTAAGATATATAATTTTGTTTATAGTAATATAGTTGAAACATAAACATGACAAAGATGTGGATCCAAAAGCTTAATTATGATGATTTTTTAACATTAAAATGATTGAGATTCAATCATCTTGTATCTGATCGTCAAACGGGTACTCGTCAGCAATACTGAGAGACATTGCTCTGGAACAGTATTCATTAAAACAAAATGGCCACCAGTCAGCCATTTTTAATCCAATCTGAAAAAAACATGTCTAATGTATGTACCAAGTTTGAGCAAAATTCATCCATAACCAAGAGGCAGTACCTCAGTTAAAATTAGTTGTCTTTTACTAAATCACCTAGAAACAGGTATTTCAAATATCAAATATATTGGTATTGCATACCATTACCACACTCATGTACCCACTGTCTATTCCTGGTAGAACAGTTCAGAGGTCATGGCCACCAGAGAGATTTGAAACAACACTTGACTGCACCAAAGAATGATGAAGCTGTAAATAATTACAAATAACTAAATATACTTACAGTTTTTAATGCTGACAAATATTGAGGGGGACGTAATGTTGACTGTAGCTGAGGTAATTCCAGTATAGCCTTTACAACTAAACCATTTAGTTCCTTCATGGATACATTATATGCATATTTAGATGAATTAATCTCCAATACAAGATTATCACAGTTTATATTCTCCTCTATTCCTCGATGAAGACTGTCTAAAACTTCATTGTAGAACACTGTAATAATGGGATACAGGTGTAACTAACATCCTGCTTGTAATAATTCATGGCAGGAAGAGGGCTGTATTATTTTACATTGCCTCATGAAAATAGATCTAATTTCAAACAATTTGATAAAAATTAGTTAATAGCATACAGGTATTAATCATACATGAGATAAAAGTGCACAGATGTTGTTACAAAAGAGTTTTGAATGAAATGTTTTTTTAAATGATCATACACATCTGTAATTGGTTTGTAACTTCACTTTATAAACATTGTCCTAATTGTTATCGGGTATATTTATTTTATTTCAAATTTATGTACTATTGAGAAGCAATAATTGTCCTTGCATACATATCCAAAAAGATTTGTAGTCGTATGATCAGTGTCAAGATTTGTGAGATAGAAAAACAAGTTGGTACCATGTCCAAAGAAACAGATATCCCTTGTTGATTTTCATATGTGTTGGGTATGTTCTCAATTTTGGAAACACAAAGTCTAAGGTTTGTCTACAATATTGCAAAACTACTAACTACTAAGGCAATGTTTGTAAATTCACTTTTATGGAAGTATATCAATATTGGAGACAATACTATAGTTGAATGTTCAGCCGTAATGACAATACCCTCGTAATAAAAACTGATTAATGGTGTACATACTCCTAGTGTCATCTAAAGGTGGTGTTGTTGGAGGAGTGAGATCCTCGATGGATTCATCCTCACTGCTTTCTTCATCTTGTTCAGTATCCACGCAGAGATCTAAAAAAATAAATTATGCAATCATAATGTATTCAAAGTAATTATCTAACTTTCAAAATCCATAAAATTACCATGATGCCTCTGATAAACTGACAAGTAATTGCATGACATTATGGGATATGAATCCAGAATGACATTGATTTAAACGAAATAGCCACCAGTAAGCCATTTTGAATCAGATCTGAAAAACAACATCAAGGTTTCATAATAATCAATGTATGTACCAAGTGTTAATGAAATGCATCCATACAAGACCAAGATCTTGTTGCATTATGAAAGAAATGCTTGATTTGGATGAATTTTAAGCATAAAAGTGGTCAGCGATCGGCCATCTTGAATTGGTCCATGAGTATGTGTCAAATTGAATGTGATTTTGATGCCATTTTGGAATTCATCCCAATGACAACTAATTATATGTCAATAACTTACTCCACATATGC